GGTAGGAGAATAAGGAGCAGATGTGTCCCTATACCCCACTCCAGAGCCTGCAGGGCCCATCCTCATAGGGGACACAGAGGCAAACAGGAGTGCTGGGTACCGTGGTGACCAGCAGCATTAGGACAGAGGGAGAGGCCTGGCACCGTGCCTGTCGGTCCAGTGGAGGGATGGGAGCTGAACAGAGGAAAGGGCTGAAAAGTTGATGCGAGGATGGTGTGGGTGTGGATGTACGTGTGTGTGCCCTTTGTCCATCCTCAATCAGCCCGCCGGGGGCTGGCAGCAGCATCTCCTCGGGTCCTGCCCTCCGAACCAGATGGCTGGCCAAGGCTCACCAGCATGTCCTCTGCCCTCCCGCAGGAGCAGCTGGCTGAGCTCAAGGAAGACCTGGACAGGGAAGACTGTAAGCAAGAGCCCGAGGTGGCCATCTATGAGACCAACTGCCACTGGGAAGACTGCATCCAGGAGTACGACACCCAGGAGCAGCTAGTGCACGTAAGCCGCTGAGCCTCCCCGGCTGCCCGCCGGGGGCAGAGCCCCGGCCACAAGGGGGCCTGCGAGGGGTCCAGAGGAGGAAGCTTTCCGTGGGAGCTGCCTGGGCTGTATCTCCTGCAAGTGGGAGGCATAATGATTATTTACAGATGTCTGCCCATTGCTAAAACCAGCTTTTAAAAGGAGGTGGGTAGGTAGGTAGAGTTAGCATGTCTATATATATATGCTAATACATATACATCCATGCTAACGTATACATACATACACAGAGAGTGAAAAAGAAAAATGACTGCATGAGAAAATCAGGAGGAAAGGGAACAATAAAATGAACCCAGGGAGAGGGTTAGTATTGAGTAGTGGAACTTCTTAGCAGCCAATGCAAAGAAGGAACTAAGATGCGCTCAGCCATCCAGTATCTACATGATAATAATACCTCTGGCTCTGGGGACAGAAAGCTGCTTCTCCTATGGAGGACAGAGCTGGCGACCATTCACAGTGTCCCCGTGAGTGTCTCTGCACAGGCCAAGGAGCAACTGACACATCAGGCATCTGCAGAAGGGGGGGGCGGGCGGCCTTCCCAGGTGTGCTTCTCAGTCTCTGTTCAAAACTCCAGGGACATCCAGAATGGTGGCCGTCGGGGAATAATGTATGCAGGAGGAGGGGCAGGAGGCTGGCATGCAAGGTGCCAGGCTTAACCTCTGTGAGGCTTCCTTCGTTCTTCTGCAAAGGGCTCACTGATGCCCTAACAGAAGGACTGAGCAGAGATCTGGTACTCTCTGCCTAGGGCTTCCTCACTCCTGCCTGTCCCACTTCAGCTCTGAGCCTTATTTTCTTCATCCGGACAAGAATATCAAATCAGCCACCAGTCCCTTCCCCACTCCTGGGTAAATAAGGCTTGTGAACATGATGCCGCGCAAAGTACCTTGGATGACAGACAGACCAGACACACACACACACAAATAGCTGTGCTCACACTCCTGTCCAATTTGGATTAATGACAGAGAAGGGCTGGCATCTCAGGCGGGGACACCAAAGATGTGCTCAGAAATCAGGAGATCTCTCCCAAGGTCAGAGGGGATTCCTCAACACCGGCAGAGGGGCTCAGCCAGGGAGGGAGCTTCATGCAGACATGTGCCTGTGCCCAGCTCTGCCCCCAGGCCCCTGGTCAACGTGCTGGCCGTGGGCGAATGACCGCTCTGCACTAGAGGAGCTAGCTTTTGCCAAGCGCAGTCTTCCTCTGCACCCTGGGAAATGGACGACAGGAGGCACACGGGGAGCTGCACTCCCAGCTGATTATTAACAATTTGCTGCTAAGTAAACCAGTAAGACAAAAATGAAAGGCATTATCAGGAAGCATGTTTATCATCCACAAGGCTTTCAAAAAGGAAAGTGAGGCTAATCGGATACAATTTCCCTGGAAGCCGAGAGCTCTGTGGGCCCCTGGCTACCGTGTTGGCGTTTCTGTGCACGCTCTTGGGTCAGTTGTGCTGGCTCTGCAGGTGAGCACAGGTCTCTGTCTTCGGACTGAGACAAGGCCCACCATTGGCTGGGTGCCCAGCACCTGGGATGCAGAAGTCGCCAGTACGGCAGCAGCTAGGAAGATCGTACAAGCCGTAAATGGCAGCTACACCTGCAGTGTACACTTCTTGGGAGAAGAGACTGGACTTCCACCCCCATTAAGAGTTAGTCTCAGAAACCCACATGAGGTCACTATGGCTCGGTGTCGACTCCGTGGCAGTGAGTTTGGTGGTTGTGGTTGTTGTTGTTGTTGTTTGGGGGGAAGTGAAGAGTAAGGTGCTAACGATTTGCTCTTAGGGACTAACTGGAAGATTAGCAGGTTGATGCCCCCCAAAGGGACCACTGCCTAGCAACCTGTTTCCTTAAAAATTACATCCCAGAAAGCCCCATGGCAAAGGTCCTCCCCGTAACACAGGGGTCACCAGGACTCGACAGCAGCAAGTTTGTTTGGGGTTTCAGAGCACATTAGATGAAAGTAAACGAAGTAGGTCATTTTCATAGCTTTTAACCCAACGTAGATAATCAACAGAAAAGAAACCCCTTGAGCTCTTTCACATTGGTTTCTGCATTCTACATCTTGGATACTCGGAGCCCACCTGGGTGAGGAAAAGTCACATTGAGTACTCAGTAGCCACAAGGAGCAAGTGGCTCCAGTCCCGGGCAGTGCGGGTCTGGGGTCTGCCAGGAGAGTGTGGGCGCAGAGGAAGTGAGAGCCACCTGGGGCAGTTGAGAACAGAGAGGAGCAGGCAATCTCAGTGCCTGCCCGTCTCCGAAGCAGAGACAGGCCGGGCCTGGCCCATGACCCAGGCAGGACTGAGGGAGAGCTGGGCTCTTGAGAAAAGGCCCCGTGGGAGGGAAGCAGAAGGAGTGTTTGCTTTCCAGTACCTTGTCAATGACTCCTAACCCTACTGGACTCTCTTCAGGGAAATGAGCAAACCCCAGACCAAGGACGGGCAGCCCCTCCACACATCAGCCCTTGGCAGGCTGCAGACATGCCAGTTCTGTGGAATTCTGGGAGGAGAACTGTGCCCCCTAGGATTTCAATGGGCAGTTTCTTTGGACAAAGATTAGATTGCTGGATCTTTCTTTCAAGGCACCTCTGGATGTACTCAAGGCCTCCCACCTTTCCGTTAGAAGGGAGACATATTAATCATTCGGGGACTCCTGCCAAGCTCAGAGACAGTGACTCTCCCAGGTCCAGTGAGGGCTGCAGCCTTCAGTTCCACCAAAGCCCTGGTAGAACTGTCCGATAAGCATTGAACTGCTCCCTGCAAGGTCGGCAGTTCAAACCCATTAGTTGCTCCACAGGAGAAAGATGCAGCTGTCTTTTCTCTTAGAGGTTTACAGCCTTCAAAACACGAGGAAGGGTCACTGTGAGTTGGGCGCGACTTGACGGCACTGGGTTTGATTTTGTCCTCTTGACCTGGGTACTTGCCTGACTGCATTCATGAGTGATGCCCACTGGTGGCAGCTTGGGCCATCATCTAATCTGTTTCCCCCAGCGCAGGTCCCGCAGCACCCCCTCTAGAGGAGACAGGGTGCCATTAGTCTTGGACAGTCAGTCTGGGGACTAATTGAAAAGTGTAGGCCTAACAAGTAGCACACAAATAGGTTATTGTGTAATGGCAGCTAATTAATGATAATTCTTGAGGATCCTGGTATTCATAGGAAGTGCATGTGGCCTGGCACATAACAGGCAATGCTTTTGTTGGGTGAGGGTGTGCACACAGCAAATGAGGTGAACAGTGAGGTGAGTGGTCCCACATAAGAGTAGGGTGGGTGGTTTGTTCTTAGGAGGGAGAAGGCCAGTAGTGTAGGTCATTGGTCTAATAGTAGGTGGGGTGAATCTGCACATGGTAGCATTGGCTGGAAGGTGGGTGGTCAGCTGACAGTAGGTGGGGTGGGGGTGGGGGTGGGTGACTGGGCTCACCCCTGCACTGGCTTGCTCTTCGCAGCACATCAACAACGACCACATCCACGGGGAGAAGAAGGAGTTTGTGTGCCGCTGGCAGGCCTGCACACGGGAGCAGAGGCCCTTCAAGGCGCAGTACATGCTGGTGGTGCACATGCGCAGGCACACGGGGGAGAAGCCCCACAAGTGCACGGTGAGTGAGAGCCTAAGCCCTGCCGGTGTAGGCCCCTTGGCCAGATGAAGTGGCTCTTGTTTGAGTCTGTCTGACCAAAAGCAACCATGGGGGCAAGTGGGCTCCTTCCTTGGGCAGGTGTGGCCAGCAGGCCCTCTGTTTAGCCTCATCCGTTCTCTCTCCTGGGCTGCTTCCCATCTGCACCCAGAGGCCCTCATCCAGCTGCTGCCCCAGACCTTCCTTTGGCTTCTGTGGGGGTGCGTACCTGGCCACTAGAGGAGTATGCTAGCGTCTGTGTCAGTCTGTATCACGATGAGCCCCAAAGCCCAACCACACCCCACATTTGGCATGGTTGGGCAAGGCCTGGGCACAGGGGCCCTGCAGTCGGTCCCTGCACAAAGCACACTTCACTGGTGATTACCAGCCTGAGCAATGAGATGCTAAAGGCCACTTTGTTTGCATTTTTAGAAAGAGTGAGTTCAAAGGGAAGACCTTTCATACCCCCACCTCCCCGTGGTGTCCATAGAATTCATGACAGCTAACACAAGCGGGCCTGTCCATTTTTAACACACAAATGGCTTCTCCTTCAAAGGGAGGTGGCCCAGGGCTTTGGTGATACGTCTGAGTGCACTCCCGTACTTCACTCGTGCATTCCGCTCTCACGTGAATATTCCTACCATCAGGCCATATCTTAAAATCCATGGTGCCCAAGGTTCAATAAGTAGACTATCTTTGTTTGCAACTTGTGGGGATTTTTTTTCCAATTGAGATCAAATTCACTTATCATAAAATGTACCCTTCTAAACCTGCAATTCAAGGTTGGGGGTTTTGCTTCTTTGTTTATTTTAGTATATTCACAGTTTTATAACCATTATCACCAGCTAATTGCAGAATATTTTTCTCTTTCCCTGACCTGGAACGCACGCATCTCTCTGCCTATTTGGGACATTGTATATGAGTAGAATCATGTGACATATAGCTTTGGGGGACTGACACGTTTTACATATGTCACTCTAGGTTTTAAAATAAAAAGCAGCGATAGAGATAGAAAGCATTTTGTATCCAGAAAGTGGCTCACACAGTTATAGAAGTGCTGAGGCCATACACGTTGAGTCAGGGGTTCGATGTAAGGCTGGAGGCTTCTCCTGACGCATGTCTGAGAAGTGGGAGAGGAGGAAACCACATGCTGGTGATCCAGGGTCAGCCCATCTGGCTCATGCTTTTCCTAACTCAGGTATCTACCGAGACTTAAAAAACAGGAGGAAGGAAGATGAACAAGGCACACTGGTGATTGCAGTCAAATGAATCCCAGATCAGCAGCCAGTATGACAGGTCTCACAGCCAGATGCAAACCAAGCAGGAATAGATGTACAGCATCAGCTAGTAGACCGCACTCCGGACGAAGCTTCCTCATTATTGCATCTGGGCTGTGACCTGATTGAGAGGGTAGCACTGCACCACCAAGCCCCCATGGAGATATGACATTAGATCACATCACTGGGGAGGCCTTGGTTGCCAACTGAGAATCTGGATCCAGCCAAGTAGACACAAATCTAACTATCACCTGCAACATACTGTTTCCAAGGTCCATCCGCATTGTAATATCAGTACTTGTTTATTCTCTTATGGCCGAATAACATTCCACTGTGCTCATGTATCACATTTTGTTGATCCATTCTTGTGCTAATGGACATGTGGCTGCACAGAGTGCTGAGTGATGTGGGCCGCTTCTTATTCTAAAGAAGAGGCTGGATTGCAGAAAATACTAGGATGCGATGTATCTCAATATTGGCAGCCCTGTCCTTGGGTGCCTGGGAGTGTTTATTCCCCCCCCCCCCCACTATAATTGGACTTAGAATCTGTCGAAGAAGTAAATGGTGATTTTCAAACCCCTGCTGTGAGCCCTCGGGCAGAAGGAAGGGGGGAGGCTGGCCGCGGATGGAGCCCTTCCTGATGCAGCCCTGCCTCATTCCAGTTTGAGGGCTGCACCAAGGCCTACTCGCGCCTGGAGAACCTGAAGACACACCTGCGGTCCCACACCGGGGAGAAGCCGTACGTGTGCGAGCACGAGGGCTGCGCCAAGGCCTTCTCCAATGCCTCGGACCGCGCCAAGCACCAGAACCGCACCCACTCCAGTGAGGTACGCCCTGGCTAGCCCTCCACCTCACCCCACGCTCAGCAGCTCCTTGACCTTAGACACCTAGTAGGGGTCCTGCAAGCCGGGGAGGCTGGGGGCAAGCCAGTCCTCTGCTCTGGGCCACTTCTCTGTCCTGAGAGGGAGAAGGGACAAGATGACCCCTGGAGCCCCTCACCTGTTCAACCCTGTATTCCTCAGTCTTTCTCATGTGATGTAAACATAGTAGTTCCCTCCCCCAAGGCCAGGCCATTGTCCACATCAGCCGAAGCTGTGGCTGGATCCCCTCTCTGATCTCAGGAGTCCCATGGGGGCTCTTGATAAGGTCACTCCTTTAGTCCCCGGAGCAGCTGGAGGGTCTCCTCGGACTTGGAGGGAGATAATCACTGTCCCCAGCCCCACGTCACTTGTCGGTTGGGCCATAGGCTTGAAACCTAGGAATGTTGGCTCATGTGCAGTTGAAAACATCCCGGGCTAGATTCCCATCCCTGATCCACTAGGATTGAAAGCCCTCATGTCTGCAGCAGCAGAGGTTAGCGTTGGGACCACTGCATCACTCTGGGGCCAGGGCAATAGCAGAGATTGGGCCCCTGGCAGGATCCATGAGCCCAAGCAGAGAAGTTGGGCAGGAGCCAGTGGGGTCTGCTGCACCCACCTCCCAGCCCTGCCCAGCCACTCAATTTCGGTTCCTAAGGCAGACGCATGAAAGGCTATTTCTGGAAGCTGAGTCTTTGCTCCTGTGCTCTGAAGGCATATGAGCAATTCCCCCACATTTGTGGAGCCTCTACAGCAAAGAGCCAGCGTTGAGGAAGTGAGTGTGTGTGTCCAGGACTCAGAAGACCTGGGGTTCCTTCTCATCACTGGGTGACTTTGAGCAGGTTTCCCAGCCCCTTGAGGCTCTTCCGCTCATCAGAGAAACGGAGGGGTGTGAGTGTGTGGAAAATTCCAGCGCACTGCTCACAGAGCGGGCCAACCTGGGATCCCTGGAGGCACAGGCACCTGTCTCCACACAGCCTCACTTGTGGCAAGCGCTGCAGTAACCATGGTTTCTGGCCAGGGTGCAGCCCAGCTCCTGCGTGCCCGAGGTTGTACGTATGGCAGAGCCCGCTGACTTTACAGGCCGGGTTCCACAAAGTCATGAGCGGCTTCCCTCGGGATGTCTGAGGGACCTGTCTCTAGCCCCCAAGCCACAGCAGCCCTGGCTCTCTTTCCAGAAACCATACATCTGCAAGATTCCAGGCTGCACCAAGAGATACACAGACCCCAGCTCACTCCGCAAGCACGTGAAAACGGTGCACGGTCCCGACGCTCACGTCACCAAGAAGCAGCGCAACGATGTGCATCTGCGCCCCCCACTGCTCAGGGAGAACGGGGACAATGAGGCCAAGGCCAAGCCGGCTGGCCAGGGCCCTGAAGACAGTGCCGAAGCCACCAGCACCAGCCGGGCGGTAGAGGACTGCCTGCATATCCAAGCCATCAAGACTGAGGGCGCCATGGTAAGCGGTACTGGCAACCCAGGCCCAGGCCACACAGCCTTCCCCCAGCTGGCAGCAAGCACTTCTCTCACCCGACCCAGAGCCTGCAGCCCCTCGAACTGTGCCCTCTGCCCACAGCCTAAGGGCATGACTGTGACCCTCCTCTTTTCCACCTCCAGCCGAGCCCTTAGTACAGGGCTGTGGGAGGCTCCGCTGCCAGCAGCCCCACTGCTCGCCTCCTTCCCCTTTATCCTGTCTCTGTGCCTTGGCCCCGCTGGTCTGCCCTCTCTTTGTTCTAACCACCTGTTCTTTGTCTCTACCTCTTTTTCCCCACTGTACCTCCCCTAAGGATAGACAGTACTGAGGTGAGCAGAGACCTGGGTCGGCGGGTGTGGGGGGCAATCGTGTGAGTGATGGCGGGGCAGCGGGTGCAGATGGTCCTATCACCCAGGCCCTAAGATTGACTCACCCTGCTTGGGAGACTTCCCAGTGTGCTGACCACAGCCCGGGTCCTCCAGCAGACAAGGATCTGGGTAGGTGGGCTTGCATGGACTGATGGGGGGGCACTCAATGGGCAGCATCAGGCTAGGTACCAGCAGGCCTGTGACTTAGTTGATGAGTGCAGGGGGCTGTGGGGACAGAGAGTTGTTGTTAGTTCAGGCTGCATTTGTGAGATGGGCCAAGGAGAATGCAGACTGGTCTTCTAGGCAGTGAGAACTTGCAGCTTCCTTGGGAAGGACCGGGCATCGCAGCTAGGGATGAGCTCTCTGTCCCACCCTTGCTTCCAGAACCCCGCCGGGAGCGCAGCTGACATTGACATGCCATCAGGGTGGCCATTTGGGGAAGTGGCTACATGCAGCACTTCAGCCCCTCCTCTCTCCCTTCCCAACAGCCAGCCTGATGTGATCACTCACCCACAGGAGGTTCTGCTTGTTCCACGTGACACGTGACTTGCTGGGAATGCTTACGTGTCTTCTTTCAAGCGGGCTATATCAGGTTGTGCAGCCTCCGGGGGATCGCAGCCCTAGGGTGTCCAAACATTTAAGGTTCAATAGGCAGAGCTCCAGCCCCGACGCAGTCTGGGAGAGGGGCCTTACAGATGGAGCTGTAGGGCTGTCAGGATCGGGGCCTCTGCACACTGGGTGCTCGCCCCCCTGTATTATACCTGCCAGAGGCAGGTTCAGAGAGGTGAAGGGGCTTGACCACATGCCCCAAAGAGGAGTGGCATCTTTGCCCCTCCTCCCAGAGGTTCCTCCCCTTACATGGATATGCCAGTGTGCAGTGTGGGTGCAAGTGCGGCTCTAGGCTAAGCAAGTCTCCACACCTTCTGAGTCTGTCTACCCGCTGTGTCCCAACAGCTGTGTCAGTCCAGCCCAGGGGCCCAGTCATCCTGCAGCAGCGAGCCCTCTCCCCTGGGCAATGGCCCCAACAGTGACAGCAGCATGGTAATGCCAGGGGCGGGACCTGGGAGCCTGGGAGACCTGGCAGCATTGGACAACATGTCTCCAGGAGCCAATGCCTCGTCCTTGGCTGCGCCCTCTACTGGTGGCCTGCAGATGCGCAAGCACATGACCACCATCCACCGGCTGGAGCAGCTCAAGAAGGAGAAGCTCCAGTCCCTCAAGGGTTCCTGCTCGTGGGCCGGGCCAGCTCCCCATCCCCGGACCACCGAGCTGCCTCCCCTCCCAGGAAGTGGTAAGTGGGCGCCGGGAAAGATGGGGCAGCGCCAAGTGGGGACAGACCTACCAGGGGCCTTGTGCTGGTTCACGAGACAGCTACCATGGGATAGCTCCTACCAGCCCCATTTGACAGATGAGGAAACTGAGGGGTAGTTGTGAAAGTGCCTAGCCCCAATCAATGGCAGAGCCCGGGGTGGGGTGCCTCGGGCACTCATTTCCACAAAACTATGCTGCAGGCCCCTGACCCCTCACCTGGCACATCTGCTCTGTCATCCTCTTCCCTGTCCGGCCATTTGTCAGACACCATGGCGGGGACCCTGGAAGGAAAGCAGGGAAACACTGGTCCTCAAGCTAGGCAGCCAGGTGCATACTTGGGCAGAATAAAGAAAGGAGTATCCCTGGGAGAGCTGAGGTGAGGAGGCTCAGAGGAAGAGGAGGCGGCGGCCGCACTGTGCTCAACCTTGCCAGGGGTGCAGCCGGGCTTTACCATGGAAGGCATTTCCTCAGTGCTGCAGGTTCATCAGGGCCCCCAGCCCCTTGTGCTGGGCGCTGTCATCTACCACCCAGGTAGGCCATGAAGGAAAGGTTTCCTGCCCACTGCTGCGAAGACTGCTTGCAGACACCCTTCTACTTGCGGGCCCTGTAAGGGTCAATATGACCGCTGACACCGTTGGTCATAACCCGCTCCTGGGGAGGCCCCCATCCACAGACTGGTATGGTCCGTGGGAGAATAAGCTGGCCACCTCAGCCCAACGCTACAGTCGGGAAGGGCCATTTGAGCTCCTAGACTCCCTGTGAGACTAGCCAGGGCAATCTGACTGCCTGCTTCACAGTTCTCCTCCCCCCGCCCTTGCTCCCTGGCACAGGTGTGGGGCCCAGGAGCACCTCCTAGGGAGTCCAACAGGCAATGCTTGCCCCTAGGTTGTGAGCTATAGGACCCAGGCCCAGCCCTCTGGGAAACTCTTCCTTTCTCAACAGCCAGTCCACAGAGAAGCATGTTTTCTCCTCCTGGTCTATAGCTGGAGAAGCCAAGGGCAGTGCGCAGAGCTAACACCGGTACCTGGCATCTCGACCCCCAAACACTTAACAACAGGCCCCTTCATCTGTTGCTATTGCCCTGGCTTCTTTTCACGCACAAAGCATCGAGTGAGGACCTGTCGTATGCGGGCACTGCCTGGGCCCCCAGCAGGTGCAGTGTCCTGCCTGTTAAGGACAGACAGAGCAGCCAGTCACCTCCTGGCGCTAACCTCTCTCCCTCCCCGCAGGCGCCATTCTGGAGACCTGCGGAGGCGGCGGGCCCGCGGGGCTGCTGCCCAACCCACGGCTGGCCGAGCTGGCCGGGAGCGAAGTGACCCTGCTGAGCCAGCTACAGGAGCGCCGCGACAGCGCCACCAGCACCGTCAGCTCCGCTTACACCGTGAGCCGCCGCTCCTCGGGCATCTCCCCCTACTTCTCCAGCCGCCGCTCCAGCGAGGCCTCACCCCTGGGTCCCGGCCGCACCCACAACGCCAGCTCCACGGACTACTATGACCCCATCTCCACTGACGCGTCGCGCCGCTCCAGCGAGGCCAGCCAGTGCAGTGGCGGCAGCTCGGGGCCGCTGCACCTCACCCCTGCGCAGCAGTACAGCCTGCGGGCCAAGTACGCGGCGGCCACCGGCGGGCCGCCCCCCACGCCCTTGCCCTGCCTGGAGCGCATAAGCCTGCGGACCCACCTGGCACTGCTCGACGCGCCTGCCCCCGAGCCCTCTCTGCCGCCCCTCTGCCAGCGCGCCCTGGGCCCGCGACGCGGGAGCGACGG